AGCACTCTTGCAATATGTTTATTTAACAGTGTCTGATAACTGACACCTCTTGCTCTGAATTATTGCACCAAAATGTCTGTGCTGTTGCAATCTTGAGTATGCTGTTCAGGTGTGTATCTGTAAGCTGCAAACCTACAATGACGCAGCAGCAGGAGAACAGGAAGAAGAAGCAGAAGACAGCCAGTTCCACTGCGAGCCTGATAGGAGCTCTCCAGGGGGCTCATCTGGCCCCTGGGCCGCATGTTTGACACCCCTGGTTTAGGGAGAACGGGTGGCCACTTTGTTTTTTCCTTGTGCTGCTCTGTTGACTTTAGAAACCACAGCATCAAATAAACGAAGCCATTGAAGCTTTCCCACCAACTTGCTTTCTTTCTGCTGTGCTTCTCTTAAAGGTGGTGGCAGCGGCCAGAGATGACCCTCCAAAAAGCCAAAAGGCCTCAAAGGGTTAACATCAATTTATGAGTTTCCTAGAAGGGAAAATCCTGCCAGGTACAGCTTCTCCTGACACCATGATAAGAAAATCCACCCCACCCCAGGTAAGTCTCACTGCTATGCAAAGCTTACAAACACAAGGACTTATTCAAGACTCTGACCTCAAAACCTGAACAAGCCAGCAAGGAAGGGAATGTGCCACATAAAAGCTAACTAGCCTTGACCTGGATAGCCCAATCTCTTCAAATCTTGGAAGCCAGGCAGGGTTGACCCTGGTTACTATTTGGATGGGAGACCACCTAGGAAGTCCAGGGCCAGCCCGTGACACAGAGGCAGGCAATGGCAGGCAATGGCAGGCAATGGCAAACCACATCTTGCCTTGGAAAACCTTACGGAGTCACCTTAAGTCAGCTGTCTTGAAGGCACTTTCCATGACAGCCAGTCTAGGATTGGAGGGATGAAGGATCGCACTGGACCAGACCAGAGCTTCTCTCTATCCACGGGGTGGCATATGCCTGGGCCGTTAAGACCAGAAAAGAGCCTATTGCCGTAACGTTGCTACCAACCTCACTCTGGAAAGGGTGCCCAAGATGGGCAGAGGTACCATTTTCGACTGACAGATTTGTGGAGGAGAGATCCATTTATTTTATTCACTTTATAGCCCGCCCGCCCTGCCAGGCAGGCTCAGGGTGGCTTACCTTAAAAAGTTAAAATACATTAAGACACAGATAATAGACGTCATGAACTCATGTACATAACAAGTAAAGTGCTGGTGGCGGTATAGCATTGCACAGTGATCCCAACAGGCCATGGTGGAATGGTGATAAGGGAGTATGGCCAGAGTCAGGATCCAGTATATCGCAGGCTATTGGTGATGACATACTTCAGTTGTTGTTGGAAACGGCTCCTAATCGAAGGCCTGGTGGAAGAGCTCCGTTTTGCAGGCCCTGCGGAACTGTAAAAGGTCCCGCAGGGCCCTGATGTCTTTCAGGAGCTTATTCTACCAGTGTGGAGCCGCCACTGAGAAGGCCCTGGCCCCGGTAGAGGCCAGCCTGGTGTCTTTTGGCCCAGGGAGGGCCAAACAATTTTGAGACCCCGACCTCAGTGCTCTCTGGGGAACATGTGGAGGAAGGCGGTCCCTTGGGTAACTAACCTGTGACTAAAGGGAATCCCTCCGTTCAAATGCAGCAAACCTCTGAATACTAAATCTAGGAGACTTTACAGGGAGGATTTGGCCTTTGCGCCGTTTTTTGGTCCTCCAAGGCAACTGAGTGGGCACTCTGTGAAACAGGATGCTGGACTAGATGGGCCACTGGTCTGATTCAGCAGGGCTCTCATGTTCACCTCTTCCAGGTTAAAGCTCCTCTCAATCTCATAGCCTAGCTAGCTCTGTGGGGCGCAAGAGACTGCTGTGGTCCTTGATGGGAGGGTGTGCTGCCCATAGCAGATACTAGTGAGGCAGTCAGTAATATAGAACAGTAAATAGTTCTGTTTCTTTAAATCCCTATACATGCTGGGAACTGTAGTCCCAAGTCAGATGCTCCAAAGCAGCCTCCTTATTGGCTCATAAAGAGTCATTTCCTGGTGCCAGTGTGAGCCCCGGAAAATATGTTTATTGATGTAGTTCCATTCTTTGTCTGAACTTTACAAGCAACAAAGCAAGAGGGAGAAATCAATCTCTTTTCCGCTATTGGTCTGATTCATGGATACTTCATAAATATGGACTCCTTCATTCACCCAGCAGCCCTAACACGAGTTATTGAATCTTGGATGTATGCAGATCCAATAAAATGATGTGAAACTATTAGACGGATGTGTTTGGGCTACTTACTGTAACAGGCTTTGGCTTCTAGAAGCCTGGAAACAGGACAGAGGGCCATGGGCTTGGCCACAGAGCACGTGTTGTGCATGGAAAAGGTCCTAAGGTCAATTGCTGCCATCTTGAGCTAAAGGAATTCAGAGAACATGTGGAGAAAAGACTTTTGTCGGCCTCAGACCCCCCCAAAGAGCTGCTGCAAGGCAAAGTAGACAATAGTGACCTTGATTAACGGATTGTCTGACTCTGTATGGTCCTGCCAAAATGTTGGTTGTTATCTCCTGATTTGGCTTTAGCCCTTCAATAGAGGGAGATAAGAGTTTTAAAAATAAAATGTATCCAGCCCTCTGTGGACTTTGCAAAGTGAGAGGCCACTGCTTCCCACTCAGAGCAGCTCCCTGCCCCTACTGCCATTTCGAAGGGCCTACTGATCCCCTCAGGAACAAATTGCCTGGGGTTTCAGAGTGAGTGTGAAGTGGGAGTCGGCAGAAATGGCTGATCCCTCTTTGGAACTGCATGGCTGTATTCATACCCATATATTACTGTAGCAAACCCTGCAAACAGATCACGAGCTTCCCCCCCCCCCCCCTTAACCTTCAGTGGATCTCTCTCCCACCCTGCACAGCTCTTGTATTATGACAAAAATGGCGAAAAAAGAATTCTCTATCCACTTTCTCCCTCCTGGATAAGTTTGACAAATCTATAGATCACATCCGTCCCCTCTGCATCTTAGTCATCTCATTCTACATAAGAGACCCAAATGATTTAGTCTTTCCTCATGGATAAAAAGATTGCAAACATTTGATCGTTTCAGCTTTCCTCTTCTCCCCTTGTATTTTGTTTTTGCCTACATTTATTTTTAAAAAGATTCAAACTCTTTGGAAATCTGATTCTTAAGATGAAGAATTAATTAGGCAAAGTAAATACATGCAGGTTTACTTAACTGGCATAATTTATTCCACGTGCAGAAGCGGATTTTCTTGAGGCATAATTTGAATTTGTATTTTCGTTAAGGCACAAAGTGCATGTAGTCACCCTGGCTAACTGTTTTCATTGACTCAGTAAACAGTTTTTAGAACCGAGAGAAGTGTTGCTGCTGCAGTAGTGCAAAGGGGGGAAAATATATATCCAGCGAAGGAAATATTTTTATAGAGCAAAAATACATACACAGATACAGATAAATTTGTTTTTAATAAAGGAGTTAATTTTCTTTCAATCCTATATAAAACAATAGCAATTAAAAACTTCATTTTTGAAAGTAAAATATTTACATATGAACAAGGAACTGTGCAAAATTTACATGAAAAAAATGGAAAGACAGGATTTCCCCCCCCCCACTTAGAGACAAAATAAAAAGGTGTAACAGTTGGTTGGGTGTCGATAAAAATACTGATCAGCATTCAATTTACACACAAAGAAAGTTAAGGTGCGATCCACCTCAAGAACGTCTCTTGCGTAAGCCCCGTTAAAGGGAATGCCCGTTCGTTTGCACCTCCGTTCAATAGGAATTGCACAGGAGACATTCCGGGTAGCTCCTGCCCTTAAATTCTAACATGAGAGTCCACACAAAGAAAGCCGACATATTTACAGTCATAAAAGTACTATCAATAGACAATTTAATACAATAACCTCTGAAAATATAAAGAACCAATTAGTATATTTTGTAATAAAAAAATAGGTACAAAGAAGGGACTTTTGCTCTGGACGTCTTTAAAGTAAGCCCATAGCTTGCATACAGTCTTTTAGCAAAATAATTATAGTTTACATAGCCATTTTTTATGTTATGTGCCAAAAATTATGTACAATTACTGACAAAATACACCAACCATTTTTCAACACTTGATTTTTCACACTGAGAAACTGTCTTCTTCTTTTTTTTGATGATTCCTCTCAACTTTGATTTTTATTTAATCTAAGCTTTCACTTTTTGCTAAAAAACACAGTGCAAGTAAAATATATTTATGCTGAAAAGGATTTTCTTTTTTTTCCATTTTTCTTTTTTTTTTTAAACTTTACAGCTTTACAAACTATAGCAAATAAAATGCATTTCTTTTTTTTTCCTTTTTCTTTCTTTTCTTTTTTTTACAGATGCTGATAAAACATTCAGAAGTGAACCCTCATTTGCGGGGGCCCTTCGGTTGGGGTTGCCTCTAATAAGCAATAATAATGAGATCTCTCTTTTTTTAAAAAAAAATTAGGTTTACGTTTAAAATTAAGTGTAATCTAGGATTTGAACCATTTGAGGGGAGGGGGAGATAAATATTTTATTAAAATCAGTTTGCTTTGCTAACTGACTTTCTTTCAACAAAGCTAAAATAAAATGAGGTCATCTGCTGTAGACATATATACCTATATAGTCGATTTAGTTAGGGGGGAAAAAACCCCGAACTTAGAAAAAAAAGAAACGCACAATTTAAAGTTTGAAATTGCTACAGGATCGGACACAGAGAAGCTGGTTATTTGCTAAACGATTCCGTCAGTCTCTATAATATGGCTTGTTTGGAAAAAGGCCACTCCATCAAAGAGATGAGTTAAAACTTTCCAATCGTCTTCTTTATCGTCTCCTCCGGCCTTTGCAAGTATCCTCCTTACTGTCAGAGAAAGGGATTGCTCTTACGTCAAAGAGTTTTGTAATAAACGGGAATAGAAAACGGTTCCTGGTAAAGAGGTGGCTGTCTTGGGATGGTTCTTCTTGTTGGGGTGGTGGTGGTGGTGGTCGTCGTTTTTAAACTTAATCCCATATGCTCTTTATTTAAAAAAAAGAAAGAAAGGCGTAATCTGCAAATATATATATAAAAAAGAAGTGTCCCCAGGTTTGTCTTCTCGGTCAAAAATACCTTGATCTTCTCCACTTTTTTTACTTAAGGAATGCTTTGTATAGCAATAGTGAATGGCTTGTCTCTCGCTCATTTTCTAAACAAAATATGAGGTCCCTGAGGTTCACCCGCGTTATCCTTTGCCGTGTAAACTGCCTGGTCGCTCCCACTCCGGACCCGCCTGGGACTGCCACGCTTGCGCTGGACCCCTGGAAATGGAAAGAACAGGTCAGTTTTAAAGCCATCAGCAACAAGTCTCCACAACAATTTAAGGGGTACAGAATAAGCGTGTGGGGAACACAATAGTTGGACATCAATGCAAGCTAGTAAGTCTGGGGCAGTGATGCTCTGTATTCTTAGTGGGGCAAGCTTACAGGGAACACTGGCTGGGACCCTTCCTTTCCCGTCCCCCCCTCGATACTCTGAGTTCCCTTTTCCCACTGGTAGTCCAAAACTGAGATGATAATAATACAATAGGAAAACTGCCATCTTGGATCTTTTATCTATACTGAATTTTCTACTAGGCTGTATATGAATTTTAATGTTCTGTATTTTAATGCTTTGTATTTTATGACTTTGTGTCCTGCACATCGCCCAGAGCCCGGCGCAAGCTGGGATAGGGCAATTAACAAATCTAATAAATAATAATAATAATAATATTTTAAAAGGCCATTTAATTGTAAGATCTTTGGAGAATTCTGGACCCCAAGACATGGGCAACAGCAACTTCTGGTGTCTACTTCTCCTTGCCCCTGATCAGGCGTGGCAATGGACACACCAAAGCCATTCCAGAGAAGTCATACATTGATTTCCACCATTATTGAATTATTTGATTTATAGTAGTTTCAGGGGATAGCCATGTTGGTCTGCAGTAGAACAAGAAAGGTAGCTGTGTTCGTCTTGTCTGTTGCAGTAGAAAACAGCCAAGAGTCCAGTAGCCCCTTAAAGACTAACAAAATGTGTGGCAGGGTAGGAACTTTCATGAGTCACTTCTTCAGCTGTATCTCGCGAAAGCTCCTACCCTGCCACATATTTTGTTATGTCTTTAAGGGGCTACTGGACTCTTGCTCTTTTCTACTGCTACAGACAGACTAGCACGGCTACCCATCTTGATCTAACAAAATTTGTGCCCGGGGGATGAGCTTTTGTGAGTCACTTCTCACTTCTTCAGATACAGCTGAAGAAGTGAGCAGTGACTCGCAAAAGCTCATCCCCGGGCACAAATTGAGAGAACAGCTCTGACAGAGCTATGGCTTGCCCAAGGTCATCCAGCAGCTGCAAGTGGAGGAGTGGGGAATCAAACCCAGTTTTCCCAGGTTAGAGTCCGCGCACTTAACCACCACACCAAACTGATGGTAGTATTCTACAGCCCAACATCTCATTCAGAGAAGGTGCTACCGGACTCTTGCTCTTTTCTACTGCTACACACAGACTAGCACAGCTACCCATTGTGATCCAACAAAATTTGTGCCCGGGGATGAGCTTTTGTGAGTCACTTCTCACTTCTTCAGATACAGCTGAATAAGTGAGCAGAGACTCACAAAAGCTCATCCCCGGGCACAATTTTTTTTAGTCTTTAAGGTGCTCCTGGACTCTTGCTCTTTTCTACGGCTGCAGCAGCAGAGCAGTTCGATTTGAGCCCAGTAACACCTTAGAGACCAACAAGATGTTCTAGGGTATGAGCTTTCGAGAGTCAAAGTTTCCTTTTTCAGATACCAACTCTTTGCTTATGTTGGTATCTGAGGAAGTGAGCTATGGATTTTTTTAAAGTTTATCCCCTGAGAATCTTGTTGGTCTTTAAAGTGCTACTGGATTCAAATCTAACCTAGTAGAGAGAACGTTCCCCAATGTTATCATGCAATGATATCCTGTCTGTGAGTATATACAGATGAGGGGTAAATGCAGGACTAAAGGAGCTAGACTCAAGACCGGTAGCATCTTCAAGGCCAAGAAGAGTTCCAGGGTAGAAGCTTCTGAGACCCAAAGCTCTCTTTAGCAGAGGACTAAAGGACTGCGGGAAAAGCCATATCAGGAACCTAAAAGCAGCAGAGATTACAACTGAATCTTATGCAGGTTTACTTGGAAGTCAGTGCCATCAATGTCAGTAGAACTCAGTTCCAAGGTAGTAGTGGTAGTAGTAGTAGACGAAGACGAAGAAGAGGAGGAGGAGATTGGATTCATACCCCGCCCTTCACTTGGAGTCTCAGAGTAACTTACAAACTCCTTTCCCCTTCCCCTCCCCACAACCTGTGGGGTAGGCGGGGCTGAGAGAGCTCTTTCCAGAACTGTCCTTGAGAGAACAGCTCTGACAGAGCTATGGCTTGCCCAAGGTCACCCAGCAGCTGCGAGTGGAGGAGTGGGGAATCAAACCCAGTTCTCCCAGGTTAGAGTCCGCACACTTAACCACCACACCAAACTGATGGTAGTATTCTACAGCGCAACATCTCATTCAGAGAAGACTCAGGAATAGAAACGGTAGAAAAGAGCAAGAGTCCAGTAGCGCCATAAAGACAAAATCTGTGGCAGGGTATGAGCTTTTGTAAGTCACTGACTGGGTAGTGAGTGACTCACAAAAGCTCATACCCTGCCACAAATTTGCGTAGTGTGGTGGAGAACATCCGAACATGCGAAAAGCACAACCACAGCTGTGAATTCTGAAGTCATACACACCAAAGAAGAAGAATGTTCCCCTGCCCTGCCCTGGATAGCCCAGGCAAGCCCGATCTTGTTAGATCTCGGAAGCGAAGCAGGGTCGACTCTGGCAAGTACTTGGCTGGGGGACTTCCTTGGAATACCAGAGGCGGGGGAAGCCTTTATTCAGCCACCTCACTGAATATCCTCCAGGCCCCCAGTAGGAGTCAGTCACCAGAGGCCGTCATGCCTTCCAGATGCACACACACTCACATACATGCACATATAAAAAAATACCCCAAAAAAGAAAAAAAAAGAATGTCCTCCTGTTCTCGTAATACACTTTAGAATATTCAACAGCTAGATAAGTGAGAGGTACAAGGAGAATTGCCTGCCCTGAACAGTGAGCACTGATGGCTAAGCCTCAATTACTTTGCCAGAATATTATTTGGAGAGGTTTAAATTGCTTTTGAGAGGTCTACAATGGCAGAGTCACAAAATACATGCAGAACTTTCCCTTTTGTATGCAAAAAACCCCCCAAAAAACAAAAACAAACGAAACCACCAACTGGGTGTAAAAACAACAGAAATGACCACAAGGACAAGAGTAAAGTATTGCATCAGAGAACACGTGTACCATTGCGTAAAGTGCCATCCGGTTCCCTGGCAAAATATGGGGAGAGGCAGTAATGAGCTACAACCAGCAGGGGGCATAGGTGGACTTGGGAAGACATCTCTGCTCTAACTTTCAGAAACAAACCAAGGGAGGGGTATTGACACGTCACTGCCTCAAGATTTCTCAGTGGTGTACAGTGAAGATGCAGCCTGGAAAAGATGACCATCAAAGCTCTGATATTCTGCTTTAGGAGGGTCACCTTTTAGGAGCAAGAGGGAACATTTTTAAGGGCACTGGGATGCATCCCACACCCCTCATCCATTCTTCCTGCCTTCTATTTCTTGATAAACTGCTGTGCCCTAAAAGAGGTCTGTCCACTCATTCAACACCCCAGTCCCACAGGATGGAACGCGGCTGTTGCATTCCTTCTTGCTTTCTTCGCAGCTTCTCAGTGAGGTTAAACGCTCAGACCTTCAGTCATCATCACTGGACTCTTCAGCCTAACCTCCATAATGCAGACAGAAACACTCCACCTCCAACTTCTTCGGTCTAACTGTTCCCGGCTTCCATACCCAGCCCATGCTTTCCCCCGTACTTGACTTCCCACTAGGGATGGGTGGGAACCGAACCATGAAGCAAAACTCTCGCGAATTTTAACCTGTTCGTGGTTCGTGAACAGAAGTTCGTGACTTTAAAAGCAGTTTGTGGTGGTTCCTGGATGGAGCAGGAAGCAGCTGTTTAAAGGGACCCTGAATCCCTTTTAAACCCCTGCTTTCGGTTCCCTGCAAAAGCTACAAAACCAGCTGAGCAGTGAGGAGCGCCTCCCCATTGCACAGCTGTTTTCCAGGCTGTACTGTGCAGTCCCTTTAAAGTTTAAAGGGACTGCACAAGACAGCCCAAAACAGCAAGCTGCTCACCTGTTTTCCGGACTTTCTGCAAAACCTGTTGAAAGGGACCATGGTCCCTTTCAAAAGGGTTTATGGGACCACAAACCAATTTGGTTCGTAAAGGAACCTCCTGGTTCAGTTCATGGTTCAGCCACGAACCGAACCTGTGCCCTGTTGGAATATGTAAGTATCCAGCATGTGTGAAGCATGGGTAACAAATGTAAATAGATCAATCTAGAGTGACAGATGTCAGAGTAACTAACAGTCCAGGAGACCAGAGCAAACCGGTTCTGGCTGGTGCAATGCTGATGTCTTATCAGAGTGACTCAGCAGTGATGTGATTGGTTGTTATGTGTATATAACTGAGAATGTCCTGTACATTGTGTGCTGACTTAAATGTTGACTGCTTGGCGAAGCACTTTGACGGTGAGAGCTGTGTCTTGTAAATAAACGGCACTGTATATAGTTAACCACTAAACCTGAGTCTGTGTGGTGACTATAGTGGGACTTCAGCAGGGTGCAATTGGAATGCTACAATCCAACGGTGACCTGGGGATGAAAGGAGTAGGGATGTGCATTTCGGGATCCCAAGCCGGAAAAAAAGCCGAAAATAACGTTTTTCGGCTTTTGGGATCCCGAATTAACAATTTATGCGCTTGTCCGGAATCCCGAAAAAAAATCCCGAAAAAATTCGGGAATCCCGAAAAATTCGGGTCCATTATAACCAATGGGGCCATTGAAGTCAATGGCAAAAATCCTCTTGAAACTTTGTGGGGGGCTGGGGGGGAGGATTGCTCTGGTTCTGCAGCTGGGCATGGCTGCGATTAGCAAACATGCTCCCCTATGTAGGCCGCTGCCACTGCAGAGGGGAGAGATTGTTTTGCTTTTGGGGTTTTTTGGGCACTGGCACATTGGCACACTTGTGGTGGACTGGTTCTGCTGCTGGGCCTGGCTGGCTGGCATTGGCATTGGCGATGCACATACATGCTCCCTCAGCCTGTGTGCTGCCGCTCCAGTGCAGTCTGGAGAGATTCTCTGGTTTGACCTAGTTCTGGTTTTGGGGCACTGACTGGCA